ATAAAAGATCCACACTAGGATCATACTTATTCAATCAAGTTAAAGTTGGCACAGTTTTGAGTTAAATTGTATCAATTAATAGTAGCGACATAAATATAGACAGACAAAAAAAAAAAAAAAAAAAAAAAAAAAAAAAAACTCACATCAATATCCTACCTACTCAACCGGGTTAAAAATTCACAAGATTTCAAGATTTTAAGTTATTTTGAGTTATATATTTATATATAAAAACTATATATCACTTCAAGAATAGCGACCTGAGTAGTGATGAGGTTACAGTAGTGTTTTTGTTGGACTTGCACATCTTTAAATTGATGTGTTGGTGTGTATGTATATAGAGAGATATAATATCTTAGGAAGAATGTTGCAGCATTGAAGGACAAACATCACGACAACGTCCCAAATGTTCCTTTGAATTCTATAATCTTAGGACACAACACTCCAAATCTTCAGATATAAATATAAAAGAAAAGAAAAAAAAAAAACACAAGAATAAAACCAAAATACTTGGCAGAAGAATCCCTTACAATAAAAAGCTGTGTCAATCCTCAATGGATTCTAGCTAAAGCTCGTTCCTCTTCCCTGAATGATTCAATCGGTGGGCCATGTCTTTTCCTTGGAACTATTTTAGTATTAATCCATGCATTATTATTACCATTATTATATAATAATATGAATCTATAGCTCCAATCCAATGCAATTTCAAATTAAGAACTAAGAAGAAGCCTATTGGTTGATGCAATACGTGACGTACCATCTGGGAGAGTATTTGGATCAGATCAGAGGGAATATTACTTGTTTTTTGCCTATCCTCAGTCTTTCTGTCTTTTTAACTAACATTGATTAGAGCTATAGCTTTCAATTTTAAGACTTACATGGGCAGTTTTGTTCTATGAAAGTTAGGGTTCGATTTCTTTCAAGTTTAGATTTAAACTTGATGAATTGTGAAGCCTATCACAAGATTCGTCTCCAATATTTGAATCAATTATTTTCTAAGGTCTTCTATATATATACATACATATCATTTACAATAAAAATTAGGTCGATTAGATAAATTAAAAAAATTAATGATCTATTTTTAAAAATATATTTGCCATTCATTGTTTTGGAAATACGTAATAAAATAAAAAAAATTACGATTATCAGATAGACGTGAATTTTTTTCCCCCATAAATGACACTAAGGCCATGTTTGGGTGTTAGACTTTTTTGGCTAAAATAATTAAAATATCCAATCACATCACTCTCTCTACATTTTATACGTCTTTTGTAAAATATAAAAAAACTAACTAAAATAACTACTTTTCAAACACCTTCTAAATATTCTACAAAGGAAATATTTTGAATCATAAAATTAGAAGCCGTGATGGACTCCATACCCTCAAATTCTCATTGGTACAAATTTAAACTTGAGATATGCAACCCCTGTGGTCTCATCCATGTGTGCATATATATATATATATATGTATATATATATCAATAGAAATCTTGTGTTTAATGGTTTTTCATAAAAAGGACCTAAACTAATTTTTGTCCAATATCTTCTTAGTAATTATTATGAACAGGATGGGTTGTTGTGTCCCTTTGCATATTAGTTACTACTGTGAGCACAATATGATCCATTCGGAGTCTTATTTCGATAATTTAAATCATTCATTTTTTAAAAAATATTGAATAAAATAACTCTGTAAAAAATCATGTTGATCAGACACTGGTAGCCCTATGATCAAATCAAATTTGTATTTGTAAAAATAAATACTAAGTGTGATTTTGATAATAAAATTGAAAACAAATTTGATATGATCATAAGACTATCAATATTTTATTAATGTAATTTTTTGCGGAGATATTTTACTCAAAGTTCCCCAAAAATAGATGGTTTGAGTTAATGATATAGGATCTGAAGTGGGTCTCACTGTGCTTACAGCAGTGACTGTTGTGTAAAGGTGAAACAATCACTTTTCTAATCCATAATTTTTCAGTACTACTCGAGTACCACACTGCCAATTAACAACATGGTTGAGATAAGGAAGAACCTACTAAGGCATTGTTTGGGAACTTGGTTTGGGGTTAAAATAGTCACAAAAAATAAAATAAATTATTTTAGTCACAAAAAATAAAATGTTAAATTCAACCCATAATCATTACAATCCTCTCTCACAAAAAAAGTCAAAAAAGTCGAAAAAGTCAAAAAGTCAAAAAGCCCTTCCCAAACCAGGCTAAAATAGCTAAAAATCTAAAAAGCTAAAAAGTCAACCACTTCCCAAACGGAGGCTAATATAGAATAATGGGGTGCTTTAGAAAATTAGTAAAAAGTTAATTTTTGGCTTTTTTTTATCAAGTTTTTTGATTTTTTTGAAAGTGATTTGAGAATTTGGTAAAAAATTAACTTTTTACTTTTTAGTTTAATATTTATTTATGGTGTCAAATCAAATTAAAATGACTAAAATATCCTTACCCAACATAAGAGATTTTTTTTTTTTTCACAGGCCCTAATTTGTAATTTTACACTTGCGTTTTTAGCACTTGCCAAACCAATTTTCTGACGTTTTTGGCACTTGTGTTTTTGGACATTTTGTTTAAAAACGTTGCTTTTTGCTATGTTCCCAAAATGGCACAATATTAGGTATGACGAAAAAAATATTATGAAATATACCTTAAATTTTTTTTTTTAATTTTTTGATTAGTATGTGGTGTTTTATTGAATGCGTAATCTATAAATAAAAAAAATTTCATGATCCCTAGTATTAATATATGAGTAAATTATATTTTTGCCTTTTTTATATTTGACTATTTTCTTATTTTGGCACTTACAATTTCAATTTTTTTTAAATTTACTATAAAAATTAAATTATATCCAAAATTAAATAGAAAATGACACATTGATAATCACGTGACATAAAAATACTTTATTATAAATAACTCACATTACTAATACAAACTCAAATCTCAATATAATATATATATATATATTTTTTTAGGGGAATTTTTTTTAAGGTCCTTGGTATTAAGATTTTATAGCATAAAGGACACTCAATATTTTCATGATGTCTAAAGTCCCTCAACGTCAATCCAGAGAAAATTCGATCTAGAGAATTTCTCTAGACAAATCACAGAAAAAATTCAAATTTCTCTGGACACATCACAAAGAAAATTTCAAATTTCTCTAGACACAACACAGAGAAAATCTCACCAGAAAATTTCTCTGGATTCAACCCAGAAAAATTTCCCTCTCCACTCCAGAGAAATTTCCCTCATTCCCAGAGAAAATTCCCTCCAACCAGAGAAATTCACTCGAACCCTCACATACAGTTCCAACAGAAGCAAATTAAACAATAATACTTATTGCAGCAAAAATGAAATTAGTCTTTGAGAAGGAATTTTAGGTTTTGCTTCAGACTATGGATGATATGGAAAATTACCTGATGAACTGTTCATCAGCATTTTCTCTAAGCTTGTGCCAGTATCTTGTGGGAGTATGACAGCAGGTATGTGTATATTTAAATAAGTTTCGTCGGGTTCCCAAACCATCGAGCACCGACGCCAACAAATTTTCGGACCGCACTGTAATCTTGCAGTTCGATCTCGAGAAGAAGCTGATTCGCCCTTTGAATTCGAGATCTCTGTTTTCATTCCCATTCTTGAACTTCACGATCACTTTGAATCTCGAGAGATTGAACTCTGTCACATTCGAAATCAAATTCGAATTCGACTTCAAATTTCTCTGTAATACATGGGGCGTGGGGTTGAGAGATCTTAGACATCATAAAATAATATTGTAGATTTTTTCCATTACTAAAATTGGGAGAGAGACCTTAGATTAATTTTCCCATATTTTTATGTATGTGACAGTTAATGTGACATTTTGTCTATAATTTTGAACATAAGTTATTTTTAGGAGTAAATTGACAAAAGTGAAAAAATAAATTTGAAGAACCAAAATAAAAAAAATAATCATATATAAAGGGAGCAAACTGTAATTTATGGTTAATATGTTTGCCAAATCTTTTCTGTTAGGAACTGTTAATACCTCGTTTTAATTATGTACATTTACAGGAGTACTACTTCTGCAATAACAAATAGTACTTTAGGACTATTTAATAATTTTGATGCTGCCATTATAAGTTACCGAATAAATTTCAACCCAATTTTATTTTATTTTATTTATTTATATATTTTCACTCATACGGTGTATTTTTTTTGCATAAATTAACATGCGTACACGTACATATCTGAAAAAATAATCAACTGATTTTTTCAATAATGCAAAGCATACACTCATTCAAAGTGTGAAATTCGTATTGGATTTGGCACCTTGAAATTCTTTAAATTTATTGTTATTGTGTGCATGTGATTAGTTCTACATATACATGAAATTTTCCCTCTGTAAGAAATTTGATGAAATTAATACGGTGAGACAAAGTATATCTCTAATTTTTCTCTGGGCAAACAAAAATAAAAAATTTATATCCGTAATTAAGTGATTATATTAGAATTTATCATTTTAAAAACAAAGACACATACATTTGCACCAATATAATATAAAAAAGAGCCTTTTTCTTCCCCCCTCTCTCTATTATTATTATTATTATTTATTTATTTATTGTATTTTCTTGGCTCTAGGATAAGTAGGAGGGGAAGTACCCCACACAAGAAATGAACTTGAAAAAAAAGGAAAAATTATAAAATATTTCCGAAATATTACGTGTCTGTATTCCTTAACTAATTATAATCTAATATGTTCCATTTTATTCTCTAATTACCCAACACAATATCTTATCTACCCATATTTTTCACTAATCATAATACTATAGAATATCATATATTTATATTCCGAGATTACTCAATAATTACCCCAAAAAAAGAGTTCAAAATTTCCAGAGAGCTTAAATTATAAACACGTTTTTGAACATATTTGTTACCTCCTAACAATGCTTTTACTACTACACCAAGGTTCCTACTCTGCTTTGCATATATGGTAAGAGAAAAGACAAAATGCTGTTCATAAATGTTTCTATATTATGAAGGAAAATACAAAATTGGCCCCATATTGATCTTTATTCATCCATATTTTTTTAAACCTATTAACTCCTAACTAGACCCCAACCCCATTCCCCAATCCCCATTACATAAACAAAGTGACCACAGTGCCCTTCTCTGCCTTTGTCACTGCCGCCAAAAACCTGGCCAAAAACCCAACTATCTCCTCCCTCCTCCGGCCCCAACTTCATCCCCACCCCCCGGTCTCTCTCTCTGTCGTCGACGTTTGCTGATCGATCCATAGACAATAACAAACTCTAAGGAATACAAGGTTTTTTTTTTTTTTTTTTTTTGATGCCCTGTTTTTTAAGCAACTTCAGCTGTTTTCTGTTGAACCCAGTTTGAGAAAGCTTCAAGTGTTTTCATGTCTGCTCTGTAATGTTTTTGTGTGAATTCGAGCAGCGTCGGCCATGTGAAGTCTGGATATATTCTAGGGTTCTTTCCATCCACCAATTCGGTTGGTGGGCTCACCACCTTATCCTTCTTTGGACAAAGAAAGAAAGCAAGTGATTTCCTTGGAGTTTTGTTGTTTACCACAGCTCTGTGTAAGCAACTTTTGTATCTTCCATTTGATAGAGCCTGTAAATAAAAAACCAACCACACAAAAAAAATAAAAATAAAAAAATAAAAATTAAATTAACTTTATCACCACTTTTCCAAATATATAGAAACCCAATACATAAAAAGAAGACAAGTTGCAAATGAATGAATAAGATTTTGCAAAGTTCTTGGTCCAGTCTATTTTTAAAATATCTTACCTATTCATATATACAATTTGTGTGGTTTTTGTGTTTGCCGGACTTATTTACCAAAAGTACTTCTTCAATGGCAATAAATTGCAAGAAGCAAGACGTATATAGTTTTATTTTTAATGCTATCTATATAGACAGACAGATAGATAAGTAATATATCTTACCATGAAGGTGTCGCCTATGTTGACAACAAAAGCATTGAAATTAGGGCTAATAGAGTGCCATTGATCATCAACAAACACTTGAAGGCCACCAACTGTGTCTTGATGAAGGATAGTTAAAGAGGTTGGATCGCAATGAGGCCCTGTTCCTAAGGTCTGGTCTGGTTTTTGGCACGGTGGATAGTAGTTGAGTCTCATTATCGAATCATTCTCTTCGAAAAATTCCTTAAAATGAGCTCGGCTTACGCCAAGGCTCATCCCCAAAAGCTCCATAATCCCCAGAGAAAGTGTGCTCATGGCATTGCAGTAGTCTTGGTAAACTTTCCTATACACACACATACACAAGAAAAATTAATTCAAATAAACATTTGCTTTAAAAAACAAAGAAATCGACAAAACATCAAAATGGTATTGGTTTTCGTACCCGAATTGGACGAATTTTTCACCCATTCTATTCATGAAATAGTCGTTGACAATGCTAGAACAGTTTTCCTCAGCAGAGTATCGAAAAGAAAGTGTTTCTTTCCATGGAAGCTTGGAGGAAAACCTTCCAGTGAAACTACTAGCATACCCACAATGCTCGCCAACCTTTCTCTGAACCCTTTGCTTCTCACAAAGAGGAAGCTCAAAAAACGAGTCCATATTGCTATGAGCATCGGATATGAGAGTTGCATCAACACCGTGATTGACTACGAGAAAGAAGCCGTGTTTACGGCAGGCCTCGCCGACCACCCTCGAGGCCTCAGCGGCGGCCTTGGGGTCCCCGGAGAGGAAACCTCCAAGGTCGACGAGAGGGACGGAGAGCTCTGGCGCCGTGGAGCAGGGCTTTTCGTGGTCGGGCCATATGAATTGTGCGGGTATGTTTTGTTCATGACGGAGCACGGAGGCGTCGAAGACTAGAGGCCGATCATCTTTAGGCAGTGGAGGAGGAGGAGGAGGAGGAGACATGGAGAGTGTGTTTGTGACGCAATTGATTGCCATTGCATTAAGTATATATATTTTTTGAGCTTAAAAGAGCTGGGAAGAGTGAATTGAAACAGAAGAAGAGTTGGGAATGTAAGAGAGAGAGGGAAAAAAATTAAAAAAATCAAGAAGAGAGAGAGAGAGTGAAATGAGTCTGAGAGGCGTGATGAGAGAAAAGCCAAGGCCGTTCTCATTGGGGAAATCGGTGAACAAAAATTGGAATCTTATAGCGCGCGCACTGTCTCTCTCTCTCTCTCACTCCACTCTCTCTGCTTTTAACAATACACGGTTACGCATAAATAATAGGACAAATTATTAACATGTTGAAATAGTTAGATTTAATTTTTATTAGAAATAAGTTTTGATAAAAATTTTACTAAAAATAATTTTTGTGATGATTTTTTTATTTGTCGTTAAAAATTCATAATTAATAATTTTTTTATCATGATTTTCATAAATTATTTCTAAAATTTACCATTAGTGACTTCTGTGACAAATTTTTTAAATTGTCTCAAAAAGTTAAAATTTAGTCAATTTTTTGTGATAATTTTTTTAAATTGTCGCCAAAATTTATCATGAGTGATATTTTTTGTGAATTTTTTTTAAACTATTGCTAAAAATAAGTTTTTTAAATAGTGTTGATAAAAAAATGGTCATTAATTTCTATAGATCTATTAAATAATAAGTGTACCTATTAAGATTAACACGTAAATCTTCTTAAATAATAAATAAATAAATAAATAAATGGATTATTTTGAAGGGAGGTGTTTAAAATAATGATAATTACAAGATAGGGGCTTGTAAATGGACAAATTAGGTGAAGGTCCAATCTCTGTTGTCTTTTTATGGTGGTGTGCCAGTACAGCGTTTCCCAATGGCATTTTGGCGTTTCTTTGAAGACAGCAATGCTAATCTCACCCCTATTTACCTACACACCCAATGTTTATTGTATGTTCTATTACTTACCTATTGTTATTCAAAACAATACACTCGTTCTCCTAGCAGATAAACTAATTAGTGAATCAAATACAATCATGGATTAGGTTTCCCTTTTGTCTATAATCTGGATTAGATGTATTGTCTCCACTAGTGAAGTTCATTGTATGAGTTTTGTTTTAATAATTTGAATTATTTATTTGATATTTTTTCTGTATATATTATCCATACAAAAAATAAGTCAATCTGACAAATTGACATATTCAATTAATTAAATTTATCACCAAATTCTATTTTTAAAAACATATTTGTCGTTTATTTTTTATTTTAATACACATGTGATAAATGGAATATATTACAACTATTAAATTGACTTTATTTTTTGTAGATGATATACATATAGGACTCTATAAAAAAAAATAAAAAGAAGGTTCAGGTCATATAAATGGAGAGTAAAGATCCTCAGCCGCACTTTTCCTGCAGCTATCCCTGCCGCACTTGCCAAAACGACGTCATTTTGGTCAAAACGACGTCGTTTTGTTTAGTTGTTTTTTTCTCCCCCTCCAAAAGTTTGATTTTCCCGCTTGTTTATTTCACTTTCATCTTCATCTGTGTGTTTAGCCCTAACCATTGCGATATACAGAGCTGGACAAAGAGATAGAAGAGAGCCGTAGCTGGACAAAGAGAGAGAGAGACGATCGGCAAAGACCGCAAGACGATCGGAGACCGGAGAGACGATCTGCGGGATCTGCGAAGATGGAGAGAGAAACGAACTGTGAGAGATGGTGGATGGAGGCAACGGTGATGGACAGAAGATGGTGGAGGGACGTGAGTCCGGCGGCGACGCAACGGCAGCAAGTCGACATTGCAGCCATGAAGAGGTCCATTTCATCTCTGTTTCATTTCTGGGCCGCTATATACGTATATATAATTTATATATATACATACATATACCAGGGATTTTTGTTCCATTTCATCTGTGTTCCATTTCATCTCTGTTTCATTTAATCTATATTTCATTTCGACATTATTTTATACATATATACGTATTCAACTTATGCAGGCTCTGTGCACCCACTTAGTTATGTAAACTGCCAATGTAGAAGCTACCCCTTAAGAAACAGAGCATTCTGAGCATTCTTAAAAAATAACATCTTTTCTTGAAAATTAAGAAACAAAGCATTTATAAATGATGATCTGCTTCTAAAGCCAAAGTTCTATTTATTTCCCTATATAAAACATTTAGTAATGCTATAAAACATTTAAACATTCTGGGTTGTTCCTATCATTAGGTGGTTTGAAGATTGCCTAGGAAACCTTTCTTAGTCAATGGTCTCTGTTTTATTTGACAACAGAGATCCATAACCATCATACCATTCATCAACAACAGCCCCCCCAACCCAACTAATAAAAAAAAAATGGATGCAATTTGCATGCTTGGCCGATTTTTATTTTGGATAGATTACATTCACTCTCTTGAGATTTAAAAAAATTTAATAAATCTTATAATTTTAACATAATTACATTGAATTTTTTTAAAATTTAAATTGATATAACATTTAGCTTCCTTAATAATTTATTAATTATATAGATGGAAAAAAATGATATTACCATCACTTTTATACGAAAATGTATAGTTTACGTTGTTTATTTTTTATTTTTGCACTAGAAAGTTAGTATATGTTGATGGATTGCTGATGTAATTAAACTAGAAACAGAGGGGTATTAAATTAGAAACACAGAGGTAGAAAATTAAACTTATCATACCTGTCCAAAAAAATCCAAGTAATAAATCACTGTAATATAAATTGTTTCATTGCACCTATAAATTGAATTGCAGGTAATGGAAGAAAATAATGTTGTTGATGAGTTGGGTAGTTATGGTTGGAAGCCGAACAAGCTGCGTATGAATTTTACAATAACTATGGCGGAAAGGTGGACTTTAGTATTAGGAAGGCGTATGCACACAAGAACAAACAATCCAAGGTAATAACTTCGCGGACTTTTGTATGTTACAAAGAGGGAACTCGGGATATTGACAATCGAGATCCACTAGTAAAATTTCCGAGACAAGAGGTTAGATGTGGTTGTGATGCCTGATTAAGTATCAAGTTAGATAGAAATTTAGGAAAATATGTTGCCATTGATTTTGTCGAACATCATAATCACGATCTTGTGTCTCAAGAGTGCATTCATATGTTACCATCCCAAAGAAAAATATCTACCACCCAAGCAATTGAAGTAGAATTGGCTTCAAAATCTGGAATTCCTCTTAGGTCTGCTTATGAGCTATTTGGTAGGGAATCCGGTGGAAGAGCATCACTTGGCTTCACCAAATTAGACCAAAAAAATTATTTGAGATCGAAGAGACAAAAAGATTCGGAATATGGAGAAACGGGTAGTGTGTTGCAATACTTTCATAAGAAAACTTTGGAAAATTCATCCTTTTATTATGCAATCCAATTAGATTGTGAAGAGCAAATAAGTAACATATTTTGGGCCGATGCACAAATGATAATGGACTACACTCAATTTGGTGATGTAGTGACCTTTGACACTACTTACAAATTAAATAACGAACATAGACCTTTTGGAACCTTTGTTGGATTTAATCATCATCGAGAAATAGTTATATTCGGTGTAGCGTTGATGTATGATGAGACTGCGGAATCATTCACATGGTTGTTTCAGATTTTTTTGGAGGCAATGTCAAACAAAGCTCCAAAAAACTATTTTCACAAATCAAGATGCTGCGATGGCTAAGGCCATTCCAATTGTCATGCCTAGTACAAACCACCGACTTTGTACATGGCATTTGATACAAAATGCTGTGAAGCATGTAAGTTCCCTCTTTCAAGATGTTGGGGTGAAGGGTGTGTTTTCAAAATTTATGCATCAAATTGATGATGAAGAAGAATTCAAAATACAATGGGACCAAGTGCTTGATACGTATGATGCACACAACAATCATTGGTTGGAGCAAACTTTTGGTGTGAAGGAGAAATGAGGGTGGCTATATATTATGAATTCTTGGGCAGCTGGAATGAGTACTACTCAACTAAGTGAATCATTCAATGCATTTTTGAAGGATTATCTCAATTGTGATCATAACTTGATGGAATTTTTCATGCATTTTGAGAGGGTGCTCTATGACAAGAGATATAAAGCATTTGAAGCCGAGTATAATTTGTCTCAAAAATTGCCAAAGGTTTCCATTCCAACTATGGTGTTAAAGCAAATGGCAGATATTTACACCAAAACAATTTTTGAGGAATTCTAAAATGAGTACGTGCAGTCTATTGAAGCGTCTATTGTAGGCACTATTCATGATGGTGAGAGTACCATATTCACAATTCAAACGGACGTAGGTGGAAAAAAAAAAAGATAAGAATGTGACAATGGATAGAGATGGTTTTTTAAGTTGTAGTTGCAAGAAGTTTGAAGTGAAGGGCTGTAGACGCGCCCCGAGGGCTTCATGCTACTACAGTTTGGACTCAAATGTCACGGTTCTGAATCTAATCTCGCAAAGTGCAATGCAAGACAGATAAATCACCAAAGAGTCCAAATCCGGCAAATCGTTTTGGAAAACTGATTTTTAAGAAAGAAGTGCCAAACATGGACTGGTTTGCCAGATACAGAGTCACCACCTAAATATTTTATTTTGGAAAATTTAGAAAACCCTGACTTGTTGCCTAAGGCCACATGTCCGTCATCACCAAAGTTGCCTCGGTTCGGGAACTTGGGTACGATTGGGGAAGGTCATCTCTGAGATCGGCCACTACTAAACATGCTATCTTATTTTTGAAAACACATGCGTTCTTATTCCGGTTATTAACCTAGAATTACTATGTGATGCGCACAACACAAAAGTATAGACTAGATTGCCTAAGTCGGAACAAGACATTTCATGTTTGTTTATTTGAAAATGATTTGATGGTGCTACTCGTAAGTAGGCTAAGAAGTGAATTTGCCACCCTCAAGTGGGCTTAGAAAAAGATTTTGCCACTCTCAAGTGGGCTTAAAACACACATTTTGATGAATTGTTCCAATTCAAGTAATCTAACCTTCACCCAGAGGTATTCAGGCAGTTATATCACATAAACAGTTAGCCTCATGGCAAGCATGCTATCAGGGCAACACTCACACTCATGCAAGATGCTAAAGCATAAGCACTTACCTAGTACTTCGAGCCAAAATAAGAAACTAGTTAGAAATCATGCATGATCCTAGTTCATGTTAAGATGGCTAATGCAACACATGCAAAATGCAACTAGAATAGGCTCGGCTAATCTAAGAATGGCATGTGAAATGTGAC